CACGGAGCTGGAGCAAGCAGGAGGCTTAGACTGCCCCTGGTTATGGAGGAAGCCAAGCTTCCGCCCGCCCAGGCTGGTTCTGAGCTCCTCTCAAGGCTACAAAGTTTCAATTATAGAAGGTAAATAAATCCCAGAATAAAAAGAAAAAAGAAAAAAAGGAGAGGCTGGGAGCTTCCGTCGCTGGGGGGCTTGGCTAGCCTGAAAACGGCCTCAGCCCCTCACCCAGACTGGCCAGGCACCCCAGTGGGGACCCCCCCACCCTGAAAGGGGGTGTGACCAGCCTGCAAACACCCATCAGCCCCTCACCCAGGCTGGCCAGGCACCCCAGCGGGACCCCCACCCTGATCTGGGACACCCTTCAGGGCAAACCAGCCAGCCCCCACCCGTGCACCAGGCCTCTATCCTATATAATAAAAGGGTAATATGCAAACTGACCCTAACAGCAGAACGACTGGGAATGACTGGTCACTATGACACACACTGACCACCAAGGGGCAGATGCTCAATGCAGGAGCTGCCCCCTAGTGGTCAGTGCGCTCCCACAGGGGGAGCTCTGCTCAGCCACAAGCCAGGCTGCCGGCTGCCAGTACAGCGGTGGTGGTAGGAGCCTCTCCCGCCTCCTCAGTAGCGCTAAGGATGTCCGACTGCAGCTTAGGTCTGCTCCCCGCTGGCAAGTGGACATCCCCCAAGGGCTCCCGGGCTGCCAGAGTGATGTCTGACTGCCAGCTTAGGCCCAATTCCCCAGGGAGCGGGCCTAAACCAGCAGGTGGGCATCCCCCAAGGGGTCCCAGACTGCAAGAGGGCACAGGCCAGGCTGAGGGACCCCCCCACCGAGTGCACAAATTTTTGTGCACCGGGCCTCTAGTTTAGAAAAATTAAAGCAAAGAGTAAAATGCTGCTGTGGATCAAGAGAGAGTTTTCCACCATGGAGACACCAGAAGGTCTCAGAGCAGGGCTCCAATCCCCAGCAAGTGGAAGGGGAGCCCCTTCAGGCCCTCCATCTTCATGTAACCTCTTGGAATCCAACCTGTTCCAGCTCCTCCCTCCACACTCAAGCAGACCACACAGTACACCGGAACCTCTTCTACAAGAGGAGTCACCTGTGAACGTGCCTACCACCCCCCGCCGACACATCAGTCACCATATCTTACCAAGGTTTAGGTTCAGTGCTTCTCAAACCTAAGGTTTGTGAAACCCTGCAGTAGCCTAAAAATAATCCAGACTTCACAGTTCAACCCAACCCCCCCGACCCCCATTCTAATGTGATCAGTGAGGAGACAGACAGGGTGGCTCTGTTCCCACAAGCATCTTGCCCCACCCTGGCCCCTTATCACTGTCCACCGGTGGGAACGGGAAGCCAGAATCTCTCAGGTTCTACCTCAGAAAAGCATGCAGGGCCCTTTTCAGGGGCCCCGGAGCCTGAGCGGCCTGGTTACAGGGCGTGCTTTTCCGCATGGTGGAATTCTATGTAAGTACTTCACCATCTTCAACGACAAAGAGATCACCTTCTTGCTTACATGCTTCTGTAAATTTAAATACTGGCTTACTGCCAGGAAGGGCAGCCAACTACCTTGCTCTATCAGAAGAAATAATTGCTCTGTCTACTTCCTCCCTCACTGTTCTAACAGCC